CTCTTTTGTTACACCTTGCCCAATTGGTGTTTTTTTGATTAAGTGGCAGTGTCCTAGCAATGGGGACAAGAGTACAACAGGCAACAGAAGCCTCTGATAAAGCTAACTCAGACTAAACATCAGACAGATGCTAAAAGCAGAATGGAGAAAAGGAAAAAGGAAGAACTTTCCTTTTAGATAGAGCTTTCCTTTCCTGATAGAGCACTTCTTTTCTCACAGCTCTTGCTGTTATCTTAGCTTTCTCCATTTTAACTGAGCTCAGTAGAAGAGTTGGGTAGTTAGGCTTCTTCTTTTAACAGTCTTGAGGGAACTAAACCATATGGAAGGTAAAATCTCAATGTTCATAGTCATAACATACGAATAACTATAATTATTCCTGGTAGCATTAGGCATTCCTAGCTATTTATAAATAGGATGAAATCACTTTTGAAGGCCTTGACAACGTAAAGACAGAGCAGATGACAAAACTTTTGCTCTTAAAATGGGATTTTGGCCTTGCTGGCTTTAGGAAAGCTACACTAGCCACCACTGCATACCCAGCATGGCAGAGAGACTTAAACATAGGGAGAGAAGCAGGCTTTATTAATGAGTTCAGGCAGTTTTCTATCCAAAGTTTTGCAAAGCTAAAAACTATTAAGTGGGTACGTTAGGGATTTAATATTGTATCTTTCTTATTTTTTTATTACATTATTGATAAAACCACAAAGAAGTTGGCTAAAACAACCAATTAAAATAAATAAAGTGAAAATGAAATTAATCATTTCATTTATGCTGCTAAATTATTTTGGGAAGGATGGAAAGACAGAAACGTGGGAAAAGATCTTTTTGCTAAAACTCTTCCCCTGTCAGAAAAGGAAAACATTTCTGAGTGAACCCTAAATGTGTTCCTTCTCAGCTTAAACAGTTCTTCCATGAAAGCTAAAAATCCATCGTTCCAACAGCTCTATATATGATACTTTATGTAGCACATTTGTTGGAAGATATCTCCACGAAGGATTCTAACAATGAGTGGCAGCTGCCTTATTCAGCTGTGGGAGAAGGGGAGATAAAGCAAGGAAAGATACTCATAGTACTCATGCAAGAAATGTCAGGCGCAAGTAATAGTTGCAGACATGCTGCTCAGGACAAATATCCAGCAACTTCTCTGCCGCTAAAAATTACAAGGTGAGGTATTTGATGTTTTTTCTTTCTTTCCTATCAATCATGTACAATATCTGGCTCAATGGATCTTCTTTTTCAGAGGAATCAAGGATATATGTAACAATACCGGAAGTTTGTTTTCATCCCAAAACTCTGCACTTGTCTGTATGATATTAAGCAATATAAATGTACCTGGTAAAAAGCATCAAATCAAATAATGCCATGACTGCAACGCAGACTGCTGTGAAGTACAGAGATATGAAAAAGCTAACTCAGATACATAATAGGCTTAGCCACAGCAACATCGACATCTAGATAGTGTCCATCAGAAGGCTGCAACATGAACTCCTGTCAGCTTCATGGTGCTCCTGGTAAGCACGCAAGTTTTGTTTAAAGCTAAACTGGCTTAAAGGCTGCACCATCCTGCAGGCTGCACTGTAGACACTTCCTAAGAGGACGCTCACCCTTCATTTAAAAAGCTGTTGGAATTTGCAAATTTACTGGAAGTCATGGACAGCTCTAAGTATAGACTTAGAAAACTCTGTAGCAGATTCTGCTTGAAAGCCATATGGTTTATATAGAGCTGAATGTTGTTGGCTTTTAAAGCACACACAAAAAAGCTATCTGCAAATTTTCTTCAAAGCAAAGCAAGCAGTGTTTTTCCCTTTTATTAAATGTTTATTTTGGAAGCATCAACACAATCATAAAACATTACTATGAATGTACCAATTCCAAAATTGAGTAATTTACAAAGGATCCACTGCTATGACTAATTACAGCTGCGTTCCACCCTTAAAGTAAGTCCTATACCCTTGATCCCAGTATTTAGAAAAAACAAAATCAAATATTTCAGTTTCCTAATGGGTGAACATATTCCACCTGGAAATGAAACATCCAGATACAAGGTTATGAACTGAAGTTAAAAAATAAAGTGACTTTTTTTCCAGGCATGACTGAGATATTCTTAGTGCTTTAGACAACTTTGCAGGTCGCACAGGCCATTAAAAAGGGCCAGTGAAATTTAACACAGCTCCCTGAAATTTACTAATTTGTTCCCAAAGAGGGCATTTTTCCATGAAGAAATAACATCTTACTAACAACTGCTACCCCAAAGCTCAGTTTAAAACCTTACAGCTAACATACAGTTATTTTTAAAAAGACATAGGATATATATTAGCTGTTTCAAACAGTGATCTGATATGTATTAGTTAGGATGGAGCGAGCAATTATTTAGCCGAACTACATTTAAGGAGCATGTGCTCCTGAACTGAAATACTGCCTATGAGCTCTCAGGTTCATTGTTGCTGTTTTTGACAATAGAGCACATTTTTTCATCCAGAAAAATGTAAAATTATATTTGGCAGATATTTTGCTCTTAAACGAAACAGCTTCCTTGTGAGCTTTCCCAGCGGAAAGTTGGATTTTAAAATGGCAACTGGTTTTGTAGGGTATACATATTTTTATATTTTAACATAGACAGAAATCCAAAAACATTGAGTACAACACAGGAAAATGTAAGAAAAAGATATGTGTATGTGAAGACATATGTAAATTAATATGCACTATACATAATATATGCAAGAGGGAAGTCATCATCTTCCAAAGAAATGTAAGTAGAGTAAATGACTTACTCCGATATTTTTTAGTATCGTGCATTACATAAATTGTAAGGGATAATATAAAGAATGAATTCTAATACATTTGGGCCCATTAATTGCTACTGGCCCTGAGTTATCCTTAGACGTGCTCTGACTGATTCTGAATGTCGGAACTGACCACACACCAAGACCTTACTACGATTTCACAGCGTAAGAACTTAGTACTATCAGATTTCATACACAACTGACAGCACCAACTCACAGTAAGAAACCAAGGTGACGTTTAAGGAAAAAAGGCTTTGTGCTGCCAAACCACCATTAAACCTTTATTCTCCGTTTGAGGAGTATATGCCACTCCAGTTAGCAGAGGAAAAAAATATTCCTTTTGACAGTAAAAAAATATGTTCTGAAAAATTATTCACGGAGACCAAAATAATGGCACTCCTTACAAAGGTCTGTGACTCAGCATATGACACAGGTCAGTAGATGCTACAGCACAGTATTCTAGCAGTGCTACTCCGTGCTCTCCTGCATTATATGGCATGGGACAGGGTGAAGCCTGGACAGGAAACAGTTTTGTGCTCCTGCTTGCAGCTGAAGTGGAGTCAAGATGAGTTCTTAAGAAATGCAAAGGAGCGCAGCACATGCCTGATAGACATAGAGACAGCTATGGTTAACTGCTTGATAATTACTATTTTAAAGCATGTTGCTCACAGAAGAAATCATACACTGTATCAAAGCTCACGAATTCCCCAAGTAAAGGACTGCAATTCATGGCATGCGCCTCAACAGAACACAGAAGTTTCAAAGGAAAACGCACTTCCCACATCACTGACTTCAAAGAACACCATCTATGCATGTTTACTAAACATAAGATGAACTGTGCCTATCGAATGCTGCAATGTGGAAATATTAGTATTTCATCCCATAACCATATTATTCTCTGCTTTCTAGAAGATGAGGAGCTCTTTTTTTTTAATCCAGGAACCTCTTTGCTTATCTTTTACATATAAATGCTCATTTATGTGGATAAGTATCCTAAAAATATCTTACCTATCCTGAATTTTACTTCCAGAACATTGTATTTCAGAAAGTTACATTTTCTCTTCTTATCATTAAATCTCCTCCTAAGGAAATCTACGTACTACTTACATTATACTCACACCGAGATGCAAATATCTAAATATTTTCTCTACATCAATTTTACTTAAAAGAAGAAATGCCTACCCTTGGGAAGGTTCCTAGAATTGTCTTGAGTCCAATATATGATGTCTATGATAGAGTACCACCCAACTTTAGATTTTATTTTATTTGCTTCAAGGTATGTCTGGAAATCAGAAGAAATTAAGGATATGCTGGATTAGATATTTTTCTGAAAGTAATATCTAACTCAATACCTTTTTAACTTCTTCAGGTTGGTATCTCTATTTGAAATGAAAATTATCTTCTGTTACTTATCTTTTTTATAAAAATAAGAGTAAAAATGGTTATCTATGATAACAAGCTTATACAAATCTCGACTATGTTTTCTGTGTCAAACTGCTGTAAACTCGTTCTTGAAAGACCAAGGTATAAAAGGAATAAAAAAAAGAAAATGTTCTCTGCTTTAGACTGTTAGTGTCTTGATACCCTGACTGCCATACTGCCTTCCGTTATCCAACCAGAGGCTGCAAAATGCTGGTTAAGAAACACCGTCGTAATTTACATAGAGGCAGAGCCAAGATACAAGAAGGCCTTGATACCGTCTGGTCTGTATTATGCTGAAGTCAATTTTAACAGCCCCTTAAAATCTGTGAATCCATTAAGCGAGAAATCTCAATAACACAAGAAGCAACTTATTTTTTTCCAGGCTTGCTAATCATAGAAACATCTTTGAGCCACTGAAGGATTTTTAAAAAGTGCAGAAGATTCCTCATTTTGGGCCATTTGCTATGCTGAAGTCCTGAGCTTAAATCTAGTCTACTCTAAATATGGCAATTTTACATCTGAAATTTTTCTACATGCTTAAAAAGGGTGGGTGGTCTACAGGAGTAAAAGTAATAATACACTACAATGACTAATGTAAAAATTATTTTGCAGAAACGAAGCATAATTGTACCACTCATTGTAAAATATTTAATCAGCAAAACAAGAGCATAAACAGTAAACAACCTCATTTAGAAAAATACATACAAGTGAATATGGGTGACCATACTGCCAAAATATTCCCAATATTTGAACTTGAACCTGTAAAGAAACTCAGTATTTGTACATACTTGGAGGGAAAGCAAAGGAGCCTGTAAGAGATGCATGCAGAAGAATGAAACTGCTGTACATTCACTTCTTTTTAATCATAGTTATTAGCCAAAATATCATGTTACTAACTAAAGCATGTTCTCCCTTGTCTTACATATGACAGGTGTTACTTCTACAATGAAATCATGATTTTTCTAAATATTGTAAGATTTTATTGTTGTGCTTACATGTTCATTCCAGGCATCCCCGGGCCACCTAAAGCATTCAGTGGGGGTCTCATTGCACCTCCATAGTTCTGCAATGATAACCAAGGGTCAGACTACCACAAAACAAAAAAACAAAACCAAAGAGGAGGGGAAAAGAAAGGACAGCAGGTTAATGATATCCCTACATAACTGCTGACTGGATAGGCCAATGTAATTCATCGTTTCAGGATTTTCCATTCTTGACTTTAAAAAATAATATTGCTAACCCCAAGGAAAAAGAATTTTATGTTCTACTCAAACAATGCAAACATGCTAAGAACACTTAAAATGTCCGTTATTTCAGGAGGAATTACTTACACATATAGAGGTCAAGTCAATGGCCACTGAGGGGCAGGTTTTACACTGTATCCAACTTTTATACCAGAGAAGCTCTTTCAAAATCAGAAATGTGGACTTTTCTGAAATTTCTACATTATGGAATTTAAATAGAATTATTTTTAATTAGATTTTGTTAATGAACAGGGCATCAATAAATGGTTTTATGAAATTACAACATATGATACAACTATTATAATACATATAAAATAACCACTAGATATCTCTTCTAATGAGCTTATCCTAATCAGTCTAAGGTAACGAATATGAAAATTATTTAATACGGTATTGAATGTCATAACAATGCCAATAAATGAATTGCCCAAGGCCTATAAAACCAGAGTTCATGCTCTGATAATTTTATGACAAAAGCCTAGCAATTTTACTATTTACAAGAAAATTAAATTATATCTATTTTTTATTTACATCTACAGAACAAACAGAACAATCTACCTCACCTCATAACAGCAGTTCACACTGTAATTTGCGTTAATCCTAATATAATTCTTCTGATTTTCCAAAGGAATGGATAATAGCATATGCTCTAAAATGAACAGCTATGCACTTTGAAAGGGGGCAAGAAAATGATTTACTTAAGAAAAAGTTCTAAGCCATTGTTGCTGTCCATTTTTCAATAATAAAACTCTAATAGCCTCTAGTTATAGCATAAACTATAACTATAGTATAAGCTAAAGTATAAACTATAGTATACACTATAAACTACATAGACTGTATGACTTAAACTTAGGTTCTCTATATCGGTCTGATTCACAAGTACATGTTAATTTGAAGTCATGAAGATCTGGGAGAAACGTGACAGTGAGATTCACAGTGTTGACCTGGCGCTGCATGTATGTTGAGTGATACAAGCCATAGCATTTACCTAGAGCAGATCTAGAACTATGAGAGGAGGCTCTGCTGCTGGAAACAAAAAGCCTATATTTCTAATTCTTCGCTGTTAGACGCTCCCCAAAGTTAGCTCCCATTAGTTACTTGGTTTGCAAGAATAGGTCCAAAAGCTGAAAATGGATGTCCTCTTCCAGATCCAACAGTGTCATCCGAAGACAGTATTAGTCAATAGTTGCTGGCCATCAACCGCTATTCATTCCTGCCTTTTCTTGTACTGCCAGAAGACTGATTAGTGTGCATGCTCAGGCGAAAGTCAGCCTAATAGAGTAACTCAAACCACCTATTTAACCTGAGTTATCCTAGATAATTTTGCCTGATGTAGATGAGAGGATGCTCACACTAACAACTCCTCTGTCACAACTGTAGGGCAGTAAGTAGTGGGTAGTGAGAAGCAGCTGGGCACAGTAATGGCTTCAGGTGGCACTACTGGATCTGGAAGAGGACATAGTCTTACTGTAACAAAGTAGTGGTTCTATAACTTTTTTTTTTTTCCCCATCTTGATTTGGAAGGCTAAGCCATGTGCCTCATTTGATCTGCTAGATATCTTCCCTCTTAATTTTAGCTCAGGAATCATTTGTGTGGACCTAGGTTAAAGTTCTTTATGGAATCCTGCAGGACTGGAAAAACTTCTTGCTCCTAAAGTAAGAGCACTTGCATTAAGACCATTGACACCCAGGCTCTTTCAGCTGCACCTATGCTCTCTGCAGAGGTTATTGCCCTAATTTGCTCCTTACAGCTTTTTACCAGTAGTCACCATCACCACTGCTTATCTTTTGGTTGAGTTGTTTATAAGAGTACTTCCTAACTTCTGGTGGTCAAAATAAGCCAGATCAGCCAATATATATTTTTTGAATATTTAAGATAACCCAATTCTTTTTGACTAGAATGCAATAGGAAGCATGTGCAAAGTTCACCAGCTAATATGAAAGACTGGGAATAATTAGCCAGGCACCGATCTGAGGTAGCAGCCTGTTTAGCTGGCATAACAGCTGCTTGAAAAAGCCCAAACCACATCCTTTGGCGCTTTTGACAGACTCAAGCATTTATGATTGTATATTGCTTTCTGCTTCGTGTTGTTTAGTTTGATATAGTCTAGTCCTGAAAAATATAAAACTGAGTTAACTCTTCTGTTTTGGGGGGACTTCAGTCACACTCTGTATAACGAAAAATACTGTTTACTGTCATGGTTTTTCTTCTTATAATTATTTAGTATAGACACAATCATATGGGCGTAGAAATGTTCCTAATGGTAAAAGTTTTTATCAGCAGGGAAACAAACAAATACATGCTATATTTGACATAACCATTTCTATACCAGTACATTTTCTGCCAATTTTTCTGCCTGTGCAGCAAGGGAGCAGGGCTTCCCAGTTAACGCCTAAGTTAACTTTACAGTGCTGAAGCAGAAGGACCTGAGAATAGGTGTGAAAGATCCTATCAGTTTGTTTTTTAGAATAGCTTTCTAAGCAGATCCTAAAAACAAGGCACAACGATAGATGATGATGCATCTGTAGAAAAGATTAATTTGAGAATTTAAATTGTGGGTAGATTAGCTGTATTTTCCCCCACTTTAAGGTGCTGTTCAGCAAAAGAAAGAAAAACTTTACAAAAATACTGGATTTTAAGAGAGAGCAAAAATGGAAAAATCATCCTTATAAAAACTGGCATGAGATTTGCCTGCTGTGTGACTAATGGTGCTGCATAAAGTATCAGCTCAACCTCACATGGCAGCACTGCAAAGCTTTGCTTTCTACCTCCAAAAGGCAAGTGGTAAATATACTTCAATGCTACAGAAAAACCAACAAATGTATTTAATAACAGTTTGTTGGTCACACACCAGATGTTGTGTAGAACTGCACAATTAGTTTTTACCAAGAAGACCCAAAACGGTAAAGATAGTTATGAACAGATTTAAAAGGCAAAGCCATTTAAGCATTCAAAATTCAGCTGCTATTCCAAGGAAGAAAGAAGTCACTAGAGAGATTATCTGAAATGGGGAAATAAAAATTTGAAGTGTGAAGTGCACAATGAGCACACGGGAGAACAAAATACTGGAAAGACCTGTAAAAAATACCACCATCAAAGTTGTCTTTCACTGAGAGAGTCGACAAAAAACAAAATCATCTTTCGGATTCATTTTTCAGGTAAACATTAGTGTTAATTTATTTTTTTCTTAATTTATTATTAAAATGTAACACTGACAAATATCCCGCTAATATTTTTACACTTTCAAAGAAAGAGACCATATATAACTACAAACAGGTCAGCACTATGGGAAAGGTTGATGCTTGCAGTCCAAGGTTGCTTCACTCCTTGAAAATAGAGCTGGAGAGATACTTATGATTGATTAGGAAGAGAAATGGCAGCATGAACTTTAAATTTCACACCAAAATATCTCTGGCACTCACCAAAATTCTAGCAGATGAAGAAAAATCTTTGCCGGAATTTTTGGTACAGGAGTTTGACTAATTTAGTTGTATTATGAGACTGGTTTTTCCCTCTTAAACAGTGAAATGAATTGGACTGGGAGGATAAGGGAACATCTACTCAATCCTTGGGCTCCTTTAGAAATTTTAGCCTTTGATTACAACATACATGGGCTGTGGGACAAAGATAACTTTTCTGAAATAAACAAGTTACGGGATTCATTTTAATTTCAATTGTTAATTAAAGTAACTGATTTTTGAATTTGAGACTCTAGGATTGCAACTCAAAATTAGCTTTTATAAAAGAGATAAAATTTATTTAAAAATGAGATTAGATGAACAGGTTCTGGCATACTCAGTCTTCAACTCCAGAAAAGCTGGAGTAATATGTCCTGTCAAAATAAACAGATACATAGCTGTTGGAGGTACCTGTGGTCCTAAAGGAACCATTCCTCTTGGAGGAGTCATTCTCTGCATTGGCCCACCCATGTTTGGATGCCCTGAAAAGAAAATTAAGTATTTTGAACTGCCATACAATGTAGAAGCACCTTCTAAAACAACTTTAACAAATCACTCCTTCTTAGTTTAATAAAGAGCTTGCAATGCTGCAGTAAACTTCGAAACATAGAGAGAAAGACTACAGTTTGAGATCACAGTACTTTCGAGCATTCTACATAGTTATTTCATAAATGCACTTTACCTTGCTGCCGTGTTGGGTCCATCCCACTAGGCAATAATGGCTGACTTCCTGGGACACCTCCAAGTGCCTGCAAACATTGAAAATTGTTTTAAAAGGAGATAATCCACTGTAATTTACATTAAACACAAATGCAGGTAGTTTGTTAACTCTGAGCTGACTCTTCTGAGTCAAGAGTAATAGGTAAGAGTTAACTCTCCTAAATGCCTAAGATTCTGACTATGGATTTGCACAGACAAACTCTTGGGCTTCCATGGAAATAGGGATAAATAAATCCCCCAAAATCTCCCTTGGCTAATTTTCTTTCTTTTTTCCCCAGTTCTTCCTTCATTTTACCTTACTATTTTTTAAACTCAGAACACTGCCTATTTCTCAGTTACCTGGCGGTTTATCCTAAGCTTAAATTTTTACAGAGTTTTCCCTCTTAGCCATTATTTTAACATCTTTAACAGGCCAAAATGTGGAGACTGTGATCTTTGAGAGTGAGCCATAACTGAGCCAACTGCACAGCATTCAGAGCGTAAGGTACAGCGGGGCTGTGATGTGGTGGATATTTTAGCTTCCACTCTGCTTTACTGCTGTAAGGGCATTAATGCCAAGATAAGCTCATTATCCATCTACAGAAGATACAAGAGTCACAAAGCTTACTCCTAAATCTTGCCTTCAAGCACGAAGATACACTGTGTTGTTACTTCACCTCTGGTTCAAATCCAATGTATCATTTTAAAGCCCCAAATTTTTATCTGCCCTTTGGGTTTATAGTAAATGATTTAGGTTTAAGGCTAATTTCTGTAGCCTCTTACCTAAAGTTTAGTGAGCTAGGAAAACGTTGTTATAAATGGATCTTTGTGACTGGCCCACGAAGTGCTATTTAACATTTCAAAACAGCAACATGTTATCAGGAAACATTTATCTGGAGTGAGTAAAGCTGGTATTATGGAAGTGATGTACTCAGGCAATACAGGTGCTGCTTACTGAGGGAATGCATCAGTTACTCCTGACTTGGAAATACTATGGTAGTTAGGGACACATACAAAGGGGAACCTACCTGCATATATTCTAAGGTTTATTCCCACAAGAGGTATGAAATCTAAGATTCACGTTGTTACCTCATTTAACACCTAGTCAAAAGGTGCTCCATTTTAAGATTTATGCAATATATATAATCTGAGACGACATCACTTAAATCACAGTTTTACACTTACTTCAGCATCTTAAAGTCAGGATGATACGTAAAAACAACGCATGAAATACAAAGGGAAATGTTGAATACTAGTGAAGCAGAACTGGTCATTTCTGTCAGAGATGACAGGTGGCGAATACGGAAGAGGAGGGACGAGCTACTGTAAGCACACGGAGTGAACACTTAACTCATGCAGCAACTAAAGTGTGGACAGTTACATAAGGGACTGCAGGTCTTTTCCAATGTATCTATTACTTTTCAAGAAAACTGAGTGTATCTGCACAGCACAATGCATTGCCAAGTGCAAATGCTCTTGTAGGAGAGAGATGTTTGAGTACAAGAGGGATCTCAGGCACACTAGTGCGGCACTCAGTATCTGCTAACTTTCCTTGCTAAAAAGTTTACAACTAGTACTGCACTACGCTGTGTACACATGCCTTGTGTTACACATCCTTGCCTAAGAAATACAATCCCTATTGCAATGTATTGACGGATAGAATTACAGTTACAGTGGGAATTTTAACTGTGATTTTTACTGACTTTCATGTAAGCAAAACTGCAACCTTAAAGCTGCATTACAATAGTTTATTACTTCCACACACTGCCCGTATATACTGTAACTTACAGTATGGCAGTGTTGCCAAAAGCAGTAATGCATGAACGTAGCATAATGTAAATGAATCGCAAGAGCTGTAATTCACTAAGATTATGCTACAGCTCTAATGTAATGTTCAGACAAAAATAGCTTTTGAAACTAAAACTGCAGGTTGGCAGCACTTTTATAGCATTCACCACATCCAGTTTTTACCTGCCAGTATTCACATAATTCAGAAATGCAGAAGGAAATAAAAGAATAAATGAAAGCCAAATGCTGGTCTATCTTTGGCTAACATATTACTGAAAGGTGGAAAAAGCAGAAAGATGTTTTGTACAGAATTACAATATGTCTATAACAAATATTTAAAACTAAAGCACTAATAAAATTGCACTCTTATATTGTCCCTTGATGATCACTTCAAGAATGTTAATTAAGTCACCCATTTCCCTTGTGCGAAAAGCAGCTACGCTGTATATCACTTAACCTGCTCTCTAACATCAACAAGAGGAATATTTGAAAAAGTCTTGCAACCTAATGTTTCCAGCTCACTAAAATTTAAACTTCAACTTTCTGGCAATGACATGCAGAGCTCAAGACCAGTTTATTGACACTGTGTCATACAGACATAAAAAATAGCCACAGCTGAAGTTGGAGCAGAAGAGTCTCCTCATCCAGCTGTGACCACAAGAAAGGCAGTTCTGGAAGGCTAAGTTGCACAAAAAACCTACTCCACTATCCTATCAACCTTTACCAGCCTTATAAATGACCCAGTTTCTCTTTCAGAGCTCAGCTGATATTTTTCTGTCTGCTTATCTCTAACTTTTCATCTGCTGACAACTGCTTTCTCCTCCTCTGTCTACACTTAAGGAGTAGAGAACTTAAAAATACAAACGTTATCTGCTTCCAGAACCATCTTTTCACAGATGGGCCAATAAAGGTCTCTGCTGACGAAGAGCAGCTCATTACTCATTCTTGTTACACAAGCATGCATATCCTTTGATGGAGATGAGAGAAATTGGGAATTTGATGCTTTCATAAACTCCTCAGAGTGCCTGTAAGAGGCACAGTGTGCTTTACGATAGCTGTACCTCACCGATCCTCTCCATAACTGCGAAGTAAAAATACTTTACACATCTAAGAAGGAATAGGAGGGAGTGATGCATTTTATGTAGAATTCAGTAAAATAATTCTCAGAGCTAACTGCTTAAAGTGGTTAGGGAAGTTTACAGAATATAGCAACTAGGCAGACCTTCTACCATCTTCTCAGAGGACACAGCATCAATTGGATGAGCTTAGCAGAGCGGTGCACAAGCCAACAATATTCTCTTTCTGTGGACAGGCTTAATGCACAATAAATTCTGAGGTGTAAACACCAATTAAGCATAAGCATGAGCTGAGAGTGGAATGGCGAATCTATCAGGCACTATATCAAAATACCCATTTGACGGTCAGACAAAATGGGATGGAGAAAAACTGAGTGAGTTTTGTACATTAGAGAAATTTGTATGTTAGAGATAAAAAGAGAACATTCGCTGTTCTCAACGCTGCCCCATGTCCTTTGAACACAAACGTGCATCAGTGGTAAGTTCTTACCTGATTGGGTATTCTTAAAGGTGGTCTTGGACCTCCAGGGTACCGAGGGGACATGAAAGGCTATGAAAAAAGAAACACTGCTGAATAAATCAAATTAGCTAGTAAATACCATATTGAGTCACTGGGCTTATGGCTTGTGTCACGCTCACATCTCAGGAACCAGCTTACATACTGCCACAGAGTGCTCAGTACATTATTCTGCAATGCTTAGCAGAACTAAATAAATTTTAAGATCCTTAGTGAATGTAGCTATCAAGATACATTATTTAACATTTTGCTACGGCTATCGTGAAAGCAGACTATAAACAGCTTAATGCATGATCTATGAAGAATAATAAACTATTCAGATCATAAAATCACACATCTAATCTTTTCACTGGATAAAGGGGAAAGATAAGAACCCTGGAATATGAAAGAAAAACGTTCTTGGAAAAGACAAGAAGTAAATAACAGCGTAATAATTCGCAAATACTTTCCCTTCACTTTTTCATAGTAATATAGTAAAGTACAATACAAGATTTAAGCTGTGAGGACGCAGATTTCACGTTTATGTCATAAATACCTAGAACTTTGGTGGTTTAGATGAGCTATTTTAACTCGATGTTGTATCCCTCCCATTCCTTCATACATAAGTCCGTGCTCAGTACAACTCCTCCTCCCTCAAAACCAAGTAGCCGCTCAATTCTGTATCCCATCCTGCACTCTGTGATGCATTACATGCATTCTAGTGGCTCTTGGCTACTACTGTACTACTTCATAGCCTATAAACAAGGTCAGACCCTTACATTAAGACCAGAAATAAACGATAAACAAATGCTGGGATCAGCAAATAAATTTAACATCTCTACTTCTTCCAGCTCCAAGTGTGACAGCAATCTAGAAATCTAAAAAGCAAGGAGATCAGTGGCAGGTTTGAGATCCACAGGAAAAAGGCAAAAACATCTGACTAGACAGATGATGAAGAGGATTATTTTGGCAAGCAAATGTACCTATAGCTCCAGAAGAAAATGAAAAGCTAAAAGTATGCTTCGACTGCGAACACAGAGACAAAAAAGACTGATTCTTTCAAGAGCTGAAGGAAAAAAGTCTTTCCTTCCATGAGGTTTCTTCTCAAACCTCCTACTAACACAATAGCATCTTCTCTCCTGTGCCTAAATTGTCAGGCACTGGCAAAGCAAAAATGCCACGCAACTATATATTATGAAACAGAAGCTCACATCCATTCATGACACTGCCCTACGAGTCATGGGTGAAGTGAGAGATATAAAAGAAAGCGTGTTCCCATGGAAATTCCCAAGAGGAATATCTTATGACAAATAAGCTATTGCACAAACCCACTCTTCGGGCTCTCTTGGAAAAGAAATATACTTACACAGGAACCATTTAGTCTGCTTAGCTAATAACCACAGACAGTTCACTAAAACTCTGTGGCTGCCATCATCCTTTCATGAATTGAATGGCATATATGGGCTCGGTCAGTTGTACTGTACTTTAAACTAAAATGCCAGTGATCACCATTATTAGTAAGATATGTAATAATGTTAATAATAATTAGTAACACAATTATAATCATGTTACTAATAATTAGTAAACATATTTTTCATGTGATCTGCAGGAAAAAAAATTAAACAAACCTTTCACTTCTCAGAATCAGATGAAAGTTGTAATAATAATCTGCCACATAAACACATGCTCTAAATAGATACTAGAAAGCAATATAAAATACAGAGGCTTTACAAATTGGAGAAGAAAAGTTAGATGACAATTATGAAAGGACTCCATAAGTAAAAAGAGCATTTGAAATTATGCGTTATAAAAGAGGAAGGCTTAGTCATGCCTTCTAGCTATGAGGGCATGTCTCTGAGGGTGAGATTCTATTATGAGAAAGAAAGAGGAAAAAAAAGAGTTGTGCGTGTGGCAAAGGCTGTAAACATGAAGATGCTTGTGAAGAATTCAAAGTAGGAGCAAAGTTTCCTTAAAGGTCAATCAATTGCGTTCTATGGAGCGTAGCACACGCTAGTGAACGTTGTGTATTTGGTTTACTTATTCAGCAAACAAGACCTTACATTTATTTACATTTGTACATCTCATAAAAAGGACATAGTAATGTCTGTCAGGTCAACCACATTTTAACATAGTATCACATTATATAGTAGTAGTAATACATCTGTGCAACACTCATAGAATGGCTACTCGTTCAACTTTCAGATTTCCTTTCAAGTAGGATAGAAACCATTTTACCACCTTTAATCGACTTATGTCCCCTTTTCTCCTAATGGGTTCACTTTTCTATTCATTTTATAAAAGTCCTAAAAAATGATCTTAACATATTTTTGTATAGCCACAAAAGTATATAAAAACTGCAGAACGCTGCAGAAAATAAAAGAGCACGGAGTTCTGAAACGGATACTTCCCCCCTTTGCGTTAACCAGAGCAAGAGACCTTTCATACAAAACCACAGTTTCCCTTTCCAAAACTTTTCCAGTGCCTGACGCTTAGACTCCCTATTTTTTGGTTTGCAGTGCCCCTGAAACCAGTAGCTGCTCTGGATATCTGAGTAGATCTGGGTATACGTAGGTACCAAGTCTATTTAACAAAAGGCTCACAAAGTAAGTCTAGGACTCTTCACTGACATGACATAACAACTTACCAATTGTTTCTTTGGAGGCATGGTTTCTTAGCAGGCATTTAGCCAGACTGATTGGAGAGCCAGTGCACATATTCTTGTCCGATGTGTTAGTTCATTGCATGGAATAACTATAGGATCCTCTCTGATATAACTCGATCTTAAAAAAAGTTTTATATGCTGTACATATTTGTATATTTCCCTTATATTTATTTGTGAAAACGTTTAAAACTTCTCCCATTCTTTAAGCAATTGAATCCAAGTGGAACTGGGATGAATGACTTAATCTGCTGAATTTCCAATAGATATAGCTCTTGATGATACCTGCATATGAACACTTTACAGTTCTATAGAGCAGCCGAGAAAATATAAACAACTGGGAATCACAGTTAATGTTTTGCAGAATATAAAGTACCCATGAAGTGCCATATAGCATTATATAACGTGGTGAGATAGTGACGTTCAAGGACAGTTCTAAAAGATTTCAAGCTGTTTTGAAAAAGTATTTAGTATTCAATGTTACTATAAAAGTTCTATCTCCAGAAGAAAAACTTAAATATTTTAATTTTCATGCTACTTATTCATCTTCTCCCTCTCCATCATCAGTGTGGTGTTTGCCCCCCAAAAGTCCTCCCAAGACACCAAAGAAATCTAGCCAAATATTTTAATGAAAACGTACTCAACACAAACAGCTTTTCAGCCATTTAAGCGATCAGGAACACCTTCTCGGTCACTCTCACGCCTGACACACACATGACATCATTAAGCTCTAGACATTCCAAGAAGGCGGCGCTCATCGGCATGTGTGGCATTTCGCCACCTCCTTGTAATTAACTGCTGACATTTAGTCTCTTATCTAGTTTTGCTTTAGTGTTAAGAGTAGCTGGAACGAGCATGGCTTACGGAGGAACTACTGGGGACTTTTGTTTCTGACGGCTAGTAGCTCTCTCTTTCTTTGAGTTCTTGCAAACTTTTTCCTTGTCTTCTCTTAAAGATATTGCAGCATATATATCACAAAAAGTAATGGGTTCAAAACATGAGTAATAAATTAAAAACAGAGACCACAGACTTTAAATCACTCTACGTAGCTCTATGTCTTTTGAAGGCAAAAAATAAATTCTTTGTACGTTGAAGCCAGTCAGACATCTCTCCCTGCTAACTCAGCCTTGTGTCAATTCAGAGTTCAGCGTCTTGATAGTCTAAAACCTTTAACGGATCCCCACACTAAATTCACAGCAAGATAGCCTTCTTATTCATCCCAGAGTTCAACTAAGGGGACTGGTTAGGTGCCACATCAATGAATCAAATACTTCCCCAGCTAGCAAGGAGTGAGACAGCTACCTGCAATGCACAGATGACAAGAGAATTTCCTCAGCCTATGCAGTCAGAAAGGATTGCAAATACATAACTAGTCCAAAAAAGAATAAAGGTAAAAACAGAAAGAAATAATAAATGTGGAAAAATATGCCAAAAGATAGGTATCACAATTTAATAATATAGCAACAGATTTAGCTATCAGGTCTGAAGAAGACAGTGGGGGAAAGGTCACATCTCCCTGGAACTTTATGCAATAGGATGTAGGATACGCTTCAGCCAACATATATTTGGCATTTCAGGGCCAGATCTTGTCTAAGGGAAACCTTGAGCAGCATATTTGAGTACACAGTCTCCCAAGGAGTAATCTGACTGAGAAAAAGGATATAACCAGAGTGGCTCCAGTCCCCAGTGATTTCCAGATGCTGAAATGGCCCTCAAGGGTTTTTAGTAACTACCGCAGCCTTCAAGTTGTTCTAATCTGCAACAGGAACATTACATTGAGTAAGAGGAGGTTTAGAAAATGATTTTGCACACTACCCTGAGCTGCAATTAACTCCTCAAACAGCGTTCAGGAACTGCAACGTAACTTCACTAATTTATTAAGAAAAACAAAACACCAAAACAAAACAAAAAAGAAAAGTACATGAAGAAAACAAAAGACGCAGCCCAGTATGCCGTATCTAAGGCACAACGGAAAACACGTCTCTAGGTGGAGGTGCCACCAACATTTGAAAACACGTGTGTCACAGAATTTGCAGCAACACCAGAGGTGTTTTTGGAAACAGCTTGCTAAAGACATCAGCCAACTCTAGCATATTGTAATTATCAGTGTTAGGTACAAAATTCAATAATTTGGTTTCACAAATAGTATCTTGAAAGCTGTTGTCATGCAGCTGAAACTAAAGGAGTATTAAAAGGAGCTTCTACTAAACTGGGAGAAAAAGAAGTGGGATAGGAAAAAACTTTTGTATGGCCACCACAGAAAATATATGCACATCATTTTAGAGTAAATAAAATATTAAAGAACTGATACTACATAAAATAAAGTCAAGATGTGAAGTGCTAAATTTAGTTAGCTCCTGCTCTCATAATGTCCTATTATGGCAAAGTATTAAAA